GATAGGAGGAACTTTTAATAGTAATAGTCCGCAGCGGAACAAATCGATAAAAAAATTGACAAAATATATTATTAAATTTATCTAATTTATCGTCAGAAGTTGAAGCAAACCAGCAATCACTCCAATCAACAGTATTGAGTTCATCAAATAATCTGATTGTATCAACTGATTTAAAATCTCTGTAAGAAAAAGAGCTAGGACTAGATTTCCTGTTTGGGTTAAAATCCAATGTAGCAAACAATAAATCATGATCAGATATAAAAGAGATTTGATCAAATAGTAAGACTTTATTAGGATCCGATACAGCAAATATATCTAAAAGACTAGGTCGCACACTGTTACAGTATCTAGTTGGTTCAGTTTCGTTAATGACACTTAGGCCCATCATGGCTAATAAGTCTTTTAGTTTCAAGACTTTACTACAATTTACTAAAAAGTCATAATTAAAATCACCAAGTACTGCGATAAAATCATATTTATGTACAACTGAGAGAAGCGAGTCGAATAATGGATCGCATGAGAATCGGTTATGTGGATTGTAGACACAGGAAACTAAAATTTTATTACTGTGACAGCCAATAGACACACAAATAAATTCAATATCTGATTCATCCGAAGTACTTATTAACTGACTACTTAAATAAGATTTGCAATAAATTGCAACTCCACCTCCTTTTCTGTTCTTTCTATCATGGCGATATAAAACATAACCTTTTATAGAAAAAAAATGAACTACTGATCTCATTATCTAACCATGTTTCAGAAACGCAAATAATGTCAACACTGGAGTCTTCAAACACTGATTTTATATGATCAAGTTTAAGACCATTTAGGCTTCTGGCATTAAAATGAACTATATTGAAATTATTATTTTGAGCACAAAGAATGTTTATTATGGTTTTATGATCATTCATGATTGATAATTAATTTTATCTGCCTCAAATTTAAGTCTTCGTTGTAAAGTTTTACAGTTCATATCCCTGCAATCATGATCTGTAGAGATGTCCTTGAGATTACGAGTTTTTATCATCTTCACGCAGTTTATACATTTTACAATGCTGCTTACACACTCTTTATGAGAGTGCCCAATTTCGCTGCATTTTGCACAAGTCACTCCATTTTCTTTACATACACTTGCTTTGTGATTGAAGCCCCAGCACTTAAAGCACCTCATTACATTAAAACTCTCATAAACAAGGCATCTATCCCAACCCACATTAATTCTACGCTCTTTCATTATTTTAGCAAATGCAGTACTGTCTAATTCAACAATAGCATTAAAAGCGTTTTTGTTTTTGTATGATTCATATACCTTTAGCACTTTAATTGAACAAAAAACAATCTCATTCTGATTTTTAATTGCATTTATAATTTTATCATCATCTAATTTTTCAGACATTCCACATATCAATATTTTAGGATTACGCATATCCGGTGTAGAAATAACATAATTGTCACTGAGTTTTTTCTTTATTTCACTAGCTAAAATTTCTCTATCTTTAGTAGTACCACATTTCACTGTTACTCCTCCATCCTGCGCACTCATAAAACCATGAATTTTAACATTAAGATTAGATGGATTTATTTTTAGCTTTAATTCCTTTTTTGTTTCTTCAGTTTGCTGTTTATTCTTTGGTTTAAGAGTGATTGGCACATTTTTGTTTAAACCTGATTTCAACTTAGCAGCATAGGTAATAAAACTAGGCTGATCCTTGTTAATAGGTGTTTTATACATTTTCTCATCGAGTTCTTTTACACTTTTTGTCATATCAGCTAATTTTGTTTCAAAGGAGCTGAATTTTTGTTCATAAATTTCTTGAATATTAATAAGCTTTTTTATTCTTTCACTATATCTAGCCTCAACAGCCTTTAACAAGGATTTTATTTCATTTTCATTAGTTTTAAGAGCCTCTTTGAATTCTGCTTTGTAGGCTTTTAAGTACGATTGATTTTTTTCTACACTGCTTTGTATTTGTTTAATTGCAAAATCAGTATTATGAATATACTGCACACACTCTTCACACATAAATTGTATCATACTGTTATTAAGACAATTTACATTAAATTGTTCAATCCCTGAGCATTTTATGGAGGTGTGATATGCTCTACCACAAATTCCTCTGCATATTAGACCAGTTTCACCGCGTATGCCGCCACCGCATTTATAACAATCTTTCATTGTAACAATTATTTTATATACGGAATCAATTACACAATTACACGATAAAAAGAACAATATTTCTGCAGTAATTTAACAGTTTTACAACACTGTTCGCACTTCTTATTGAAGCTTTACTTGCTGTCTCTATCAGCTGATTATAAGCTTTTCTTTAATAAAACAAAAAAAAAAAACAAACAATTAATTGCTGTCTCTGTCAGCTGTTTTGTATGTATAAAAACAAAACCAAATTAACCGCGCGTGTTTTGCAAATACAAAATAAGTTTTTAGTATTTATTTCTTAAATTAATTAAACAATTATCAGTTAAAGCGTGTACCAATTTGCAAAAATCAGCAATCATAAAGGCAACGCTCATCTGCATAAACTTCACAAAACAATTCGATTCATTTATATTTATGTAAATATACTTATATCGTCAACTAACTTGAACAAAGAACCGACACATATCAGCTATGAAAGAACTAAAATAAGAGCATACATTCCCTACCCCATGCACTGTAACAATTGCCTGAAATTTGGACACACGCAAAAAGTTTGTAGGCAAAAACAATACACCGATGCTAATGAAATGAAAACATGTAAAACTGACACAACTTGCGTCAATTGCACAGACAGAGCCCACAACAATCACAAACATTCAACTTTTGACAAAAAATGCTCCGTGTTTATAGAAAAACGAGACATCGCAGCAATAAAAATACTACAAAAAGTTGATATAAAAAGAGCATATTCCATATATAACAAAAAACACCAACAACAAGAACATACATATACCTCAGTCACTTCACAACTAACAACTTCCAGCATTACCTCAAACTGTATGAATGACAAAGCAACAACACCAGAAAACACCTCTGTTCAACACGAAATAACAACAATAAATGCACATGGAAATAACGCAACAACAACTAGCAATGGTAGAAATATGGTGTCTTATGCTGACACAAACATTGATGCCGAGAAAATAACCACACGTTTATGTACAAACTCCATCAAAAAAATTTTTATTCTCCCTAAGAGCATATCTAAACGAGAGTTAAGTCAACTTAAGAGCACAGCTAAATTATCGAATGTTAAAAAAAAATACAAAACGTAATTCTCAAGAAAAGCACTCTGAGTCTAAGTGTGATCAACCAATGAGCGACAATAAATTAAACTAAAATAGTGTTAACGGTCTCAGAGCGGGTGGAAAGAGAGGAAAATTTCTTCTTTCTCACTCTCTGTCAATTGCAATGAGACCGAATACATTGAGTATAAATATTATAGAGTAGCAATCTCGTACAAGCAAATTTTTGTATGAGGTTGCTGCTGCTGGCAACCTTTTTGCACTCAAAAAACACTATTCTCTTCATGTCTTGTTTTCTGAATTGCTTTGGAAATTAAAGTAAAGGGCAAAATGATTCTCTCAAATAACTCTTTTCGTCGTTTGTTATATTGATCAGTGCTTCTGCGAATTTATTAGGAAGGTATATGTAGGAAAAAAATATTACTGTAGTCTTTTTGTGTGCTTTCATATTGCACTTTACTAGCATACATACAGTAACGAACAAAATTATTGGCACAGTAAGTAAATTGAACTATTAAAAATCGCATTATTAACAGGATAAAAATAGTGCAAAAGTTCAATTTGCTTGCTGTGCCAATAATTTTGTTCATCACTGTATATGTTTACATATTTCTTTTCTATTTCTCAGCATGTAGGTATGTTTGTATTAATTTTGCATCCAATATAAGGAAATTGTAAGCGTAAAAAGAAGTTTGGTTTTTTTTGTTTCATATCAGAAACAATGCTACTATTATTTTTATTGTTTTGATTCTGATTTAAAACTGTTTTTAAAAATATGTATGTATATGTAAAGGCTTACTAATTGCTTCAGTATACACATATGTATGTATGTATATTAGGGTGCCATTAATTTTCGAAAGTCGGAAAATTGCCCGCGGCACCCCCCAGATCGGTTCATTTTACTAAAAAAATAATCTTTGTAAAATTTTAGTTCAATTGGACAAGTGGAAATGGTGCCCCAAGAGCCTCAAAGATTGGAAAATAACGATTTTTTCCATTAAATTCATCTTTGATTGCTTATATCTCCGACATATTTAATTTAACATAAAAACTGTCTTCCTAAAAGTTATAGATCTACTTAAAATAAATAATTCACTCATACGAAGTTTTTCTGTGTTTCTAATAGTTATTGAATAAAACAAGAAATAAGTTGAAGTCACTTGATTGCTAGCTTTGAAAGTACTGTGAGTGTTATTGTCCGCTTCAGCTTTACAAAAAATTTAAAATTTCTAAAAAATTTAAAATAAATTCAATATTTCAAAAATTTAATCTTTCTAATAATAAAAAAGTACTAATTCTAAGTTTGTCCGACATAATTTTTATTATTTTAGTTGAAGTTGCTGGAGCAAAGTATCCTTATTACCTTCAGTTATTTTTGCGCGATCTATTGATACTCTCCTGACTTCCTTGTCATCACTATCTATATTCAAATTTGAAACCATCTTTTTCTTTGTCTCAGGTGATATATTTAAATCCAAAAAAGCAAAATGAACAAGCTTTGAGCTTAAATACCAAGTACAATTTTTTGATATTGACTGAGAAAAGAAAGAAGATTAAAATCTTGAAAATGACCTTTGACTGATGACAAAGCATTAAACCATACTTCAACATACACTTTAGTAATAAATATACATACATCGCAAAGAGCATTTTCTTCTTCTGTAGATAATTTGAACTCTTTCCTAAATAAAAATATTTTTAATACATGCATGACTTTCACCATCCATCTTGCATGATGTATAGGTCCAGGAGGTCGAAACTTTATGGTACAGTTCGGCTTTTCTCCTAAAAACATTAATGCAAGTTCCAGAAGTTCCTTATAATCATCTCTTGGTTGGTTATCCTTACGAATCTCAAAAAGGAAACTTGTAAATCGTAACACATCATCCATATTTAACGATTTTCTTATTTTTTCATTTTCTAAGCCGACTGTTAACTTATCAACGTTTATTTTCGGCCAAAACTTCTGAAATCGTTGAAATAGTTCAACATTTGGGCTTTCAGACTTGTACACTTTTTAATGTAATCACTTTGAATTAAAATTCACTTCGCATTCCAATGAATAATACAGAAACTCACTTACATTGTGACCGAAAAGTTTCCGGTCATAAATAAATAAAACGCAAAATTCTTAATCTTCATCAATATTTATTTTATCTCCTTCAAAATATGCTCCATTAGAAGCGATACCACAAATGCCAACGTTTCTTCCAATCATCAAAACATTTTTTATAGGCGCTTTCCGGTATGGCTTTGAGTTCCCTCTGCGAATTCTGTTTTACGTCTTCTATGGATTCAAAACGCGTTCCTCTGAGTGGTAATTTGAGGTTGGGAAACAGGAAAAAGTCACACGGTGCAAGATCAGGTGAATACGGTGGCTGTTCGATGGTATTTATTGAATGTTTGGCCTTAAAATCGTTGATAATGTTGAACAAATTGAGGTGAATCGGAACAAGCCGGGCGTTGACACGTCGCATACACAAATTGTCCACCAAAATCAAACGAGCCATCTCACGACCGATGCCTAGCTCTCGTGC